TTTCAGTTCTTAAATGAAATGCATGGTTGTAATGTGCTGGAAAAAAGCAATGATAAAGACATCATAAGTCAAGCTTGCTTTCATTGAATTTGTGATAAAGATAAGTACTGTCCAATATTTGGAAATGACATTAATCTTAGGAGTTTCTTATCATTAATGGTCTCTCTCAATGTTTTCTGAGGGAGGAAATGATACTATTTACCAATATTCTATTTTGTTGCTTAACCTTGGACATAAAACCATGACAATAGCCAGCCCATGACAAAATTTCTCCATTAAATCCTGATTATTATTTCTTTACCATACACACACAAAGCATTCCAACTAAACTCTTCCTCTTACTCACATCCTCCTTTTCTTTCTACCTCTCCTCCTCTACTGTTCCCCATGACCTTATTCTCTTTAAAATCTTAATACTATTTCTAATTTGAATAAAATACTTGTATTTATCCATTGAGTGAAAACAATCTGTGGCTCTTTATATTTGAATATAAGAATTATTGCTTGACCAGTTTGTGCTACTTACTTTTTAAAGGAATCTGATTATTCCCACCCAAGCCTGGATATACTTAAGTTATACTATTCGTGGTTCAAGTAGTTAAATATATGGCACTTTTCCAACAGCGTGGCACTTCTCAGACCCTGAGGGGGTGTCTCACATCTGAATGTTCTCTCTGCCCCATCCAGCAGACTCTGGCAGGCATCATGGTTAATCTTAACTCTTAGCTTCACTGACCGACGGGACACATAGAAGATCAGTGACACATACTTCTGGCATGTTCAGGAGAGTCAGGAGATGGTGACCCTCAGGATGTGATGTGGTCCCTAGCCCCTCCTGTTGGATCTTCTGCTTTCTCCAGGAAGCATGCAATGAGTTGAGCAGTTATCTTTCCTCATGTCCTTGCTGACAATGAAATCTCCAAAACCATCAAACTGTCTTCTTCAGACTGTATGTGTGAGGTATTTTGTCAACAGAGATGAAAATCTGACTAAGACATCAAGGAATCCCAGTCTCTGACTTTTTTTCCCTGACTTCTTGAAATAATTTTGTTTTTATCTGCACTTTTAAAGAAATAGAATCTGAGGTTTTATGTTTGAGAGCTAAGCACAAACAGATCTCAGTAATAAGGGTAACCCTGCTAATCAATTTCACTCTCATTAATGTGTAGGCCAAGTTATTAAGACTTAGGGAGATTTAGTTTTGATAGTTAGTCTTGTACTTGAAAGTCTTCTCCTAATAATATCAGGAAGAGAGTATCTGTTAAAATAAGTGATGGAACTTTAACAGTATTATCAAAGTTATATAAACAAGATAACATCTAAAAATAACACACCAAACAAAACCATATTGAGGGAGAAGTACTAATTAATTCCTCTTTTTACACAGTTGCTTAATGGTTCTTAGCTCCTTTTCTCATTGCTGAGACAGAATGCCCAACAGCCACACTCGAGGGAGGAAAGGTGTGCTTAGCTCACAGTTTGCAGAGGGCTAGGTCCATGACTGGCCAGCTGCAAGGAAGGGCGGCTTGGCAGCTCATGGCTGCCACACCTTAGCAAAGCAGCGCGGGGCCTTGGCAGTGTCTTTCTGCCTCTTTTATCATATCCAGAATACTTAAGGTAGGTAGTGCTCACACCGTTAACCCTAACGCCCTTCAGACTAGCCCAGCATCTATATGCTAGACCCAGCCCTCTCTGAAAACGTCCCACCTAGCACTGCGTGAGGCTCTGAGCAGACATCTGGACAAAAGTCATAACAGTAATGCGTATCATACTGTGAGAAGTGGAGAAATAAAAAGAAATGCTATTTATTATGATAGTAAGAATTATCAGACAAAAAAATGAAAGTTGTAAAGTGTGAGTGTCCTAGCAAACTGGGTCTGGAACTAAAGGTACACGGGATGGATTAAAATATATTTTACTAAAGTCCCTCAACACTATGTGGCTATGCTATTGCCAAAATGTGTACATTTTAAATACTATAAAGAAAATATAAGTTATAGTACTGAGAAAAAGAAAAGAAAAGCTTTTAGTAAAGCTTTAACAGGTTTCTGGAAATTTGCAAGAAATAGTATTTTAAAATGTCTTATTTAAGATTGACATTTTTTCCTTGATGTTTAGAGGCCTCTGACTTACCTTAAAAAGATCTTTCTCTTTGTCCTAATTAATGAGTGTGCTTACAGTTGCTAGAAGGAATACTCATATGACAGTGCCTAAGACATCTCTGAAGCAAGTGGTCTTTTCTTCAATCTTGAACATTTTTAACGTTAATAGTACATGACAGTAATTGATACTGAAAATTGTGTATTATTTAAGAAGAAATGGTTAAAAAGGAAATGATTTTCATGAAATGACATAATGTGTCAGAGGTATATGATTGTACGTGTATTTATTAGAATAAGTAACACAATTAACCTGTATCAATCTTTACACATTTGTCTCCTATCAACATCTTTAGGGTAGATACACCAGGGATGGGAAGACTACACTAACAAACTAGACAACCTTAACAGAAGCAATTATTTAAGAGTTTTGCACAGAGTAGATGTCAAGAAACCTGTTTTAGACAAAGTGAGACATAGCCTTCTAGCCACCTGCACATAAAACATGCCTTAAAATTAACCAGGTACTGGATAAATGGATAAAAGTAATCCATTTGCATGACATATAATTATATTTCATATACAATCCATCTCATACTCTATTTTGAACAGAGTAGAATTGTCAGTCAAATTATATCATAAATGCTTAATACAATTAAAATAAACAGCAAATAAAATATATTATGGGCTAATGAATAATTCCTGATTTACAATATGTTTAAAATTTCAACACATCACACAAAACCTCAAAACATGTACAGATATTATGTGTTAGTAAATTTATGTTATAAGAACATGGGAAAATAACCTTAATTTGATCATTTTACATTGTACACGTGTACTGAGTTATCACACTGTATCCTACAGAATGTATAATTAAAGTAAAAAGAAGAAAATATATGAAAGTGAATGAAAATGACAACCTCAGATACCAAAATCTATGGTCAGAGGATGAATAATATTCTAATACATATTAAGAAGCTTAGAGTTGACAGTAAATGAGTTGAGCATACAATTGAATCTTTTTGAGCAATGACCAGGGTAAATCTCACCTGTTACAAAAATAATGAAAAATAATAAAAATAATAAAAAATAATATTCTGGAAAATCTTTAAACTTCCTAGAGCTATAATATCTTGATGACAAGTCATTTGTTTCTAAATTAGTTTGAGACAGGTTTCTAGGAACCTGAGCCTAGATTATTAATCTGTATAAACAGGTCAAGAGAAGATATATTTTACTTCCTTTTCTGTTATAAATTATGCTCTGTGCAGAGAACAATATTTTTCTTGGGCACAAATACAATGTAAGGAATCAGGTGCAGAATTTGCTCAATGAGGTATTTAACATTTTTCTGTCAATTTGGATTTTACATGAATTATCCAACACAGCAACATATCACTCCCTTGAATAGACTTTCAGTATCCACTGCAAAGAAATAATTCTCTTGGAGGCTACTGCT